GATCATGGCATTTCCGTGGCTAGAGAACCTTGCAAAAGTATTTATACCCCTTGAACCACAAATTTCAATGTGTTTTTATTGGGATTTTGTGCAAACAGAACTGCACAATTGCATGCAACAACATTTTTTTTTTTTTTAGCAAATAAAATTTTGCAATTGTACTAAGCCCCTGTGCATCAACAACACTGCTCAAATTCACCGAGACTTTGTTGAGAGCAGATGTGAACATACATTTTAATATTTCAGATTCTTGGTTGTATGTCTCGACTGGGCAATTCTAGCAAATTAAATTCACTTTATTTAAACTGTACAACTTTTGCTCTTGCTGTATCTTTGGGATTGTTGTGCTGGGAAGTGAACCCACATTTCAATCCAATCTCGGTGCTTTTGCAGGTATTCATCCAAGGTTGCCCTGTACTTAGCTTGACTCATTAACTATAGACAAGCTAAGTTCAGTACAGCCCCTTATAAAGTAAAGAATCTCCCACAGCATGATGCTACCATGGTGTTTTTGGTAACATCAAGTATAGCCCATACCAAAAATCTGCCGCTGAATCTGTTGATGGGTCGATTCACATCAAACGTTTTAGAATTTTATTTTATGACCTTTTTTTTCTGAAATACTGGATTCTTTTCCTTCTCCTTCCAAGTATACCCTACTTGGTGCTAATCTCACCCCAAAAGCCTTATGAAAGACATTGAAGTTTATGATTTATAACATGACAAAATCTAAAAAAAGGGACACATTACACAGGAAATTTTAACTGCAACAGAATATTTCTGTTTGTGGATCTGTTCTGTTTAGGAACTTTAGTTCTAACCAACATTTAGCAAAGATTATTACAATTTCATGCAAAACGAAGAGATCAAGTAGTAATTAATGCTACTAATATTTAAATCTCTCATTATAGGAACTGGCTGTTAAGAATGAAAGTGGGCTGAGTGGTAACCCCTTGAAGATTACATGGCTGGAAGGACAACCTGAGGTTGTTTCTGCAGCATCTCAAACCGGCCATTTCATGTCTTCACAGGTAGTATTATAACACAGAAATGTATTCTTTTATATTTCCTCCTGCACCAAGGGGGGCATGCCTCCCCCGTGTTGCAAAATATTGCCAGTTGCTCCAACAAAAATATTAACCTCTCTGCAGAAAGAGTTATGTTAATGTTCAGATTTTCTTTTCTTCCATATCAACGGTTCAAATGTTGCTCCAGAGTTTGCACTTTTGTTCTTTTTGGCCACGATCAGTGTGGTCGGGTAAGTGGACCTCAGTTTATTTGTTTTGGAGTGGTGAAGCGGTGGCCTCTCACTAGTTCAGAGAGACTGGTTTAATTTGGCCCCAACTGGTTGGGTGCTCATTAATGTAACGGACCTGGGAGAGTCCAGGAATGCTTCACTTCACACGGCAGCCAAGGGGAGGCACTGTGCAATAATGACAGTCAAACATGTCAGCCTCACTGTCGGAATAATTTTAAGAAAAGCTTTTGTGTATTCATACTGGCGTATGTGAACTTTAATCCTTAGCTTTTCATCCTCAAATTTAGTTATTTTTTGTCCTTTAAAGATGTGCAACTTCTTATCTTGACCTTGTGTGATATTTTTGAATTTTCTTTTTTCAAATCACTGTAAAATAGTCAGGCAAATATCTATTAAATAATTTTTTGTTGTAGCATGAAAGGGATATGAAACTATAATAATGATTTCAAATCAGTCATTGGTCATTATTAAGTAACATAGAAACAAATATAAGGAATAAAGATAACTCTCCTCTGCTCTGGTGGTTCTGCCACCTCTGCCTCTCCCTGTTTCAGCTGGAGGGAAGTTGACTTTAACTCCAAGATTGGTACAGCATGTCTCACATTATTATAAAAATGGGCAGATGATATTGGTGTTTCCTGCTACTAAGCTTTTGGATATCTCAAAAGTTTTTCAATAAGAGCTTAAAATAAGTTACTAAGTGACATATGGCACATGTTCAAGACTTTAAACTTTTTAAGGAACTTTTTTTTTTTCCAAATGTAGCAACGCGTACAATGAAACATGTCTAATCTTCCAGGGGATGAGATGACCAATATGAAGAGGGCTTGAGGTAGTAATGGAGACATCACCCACTAAGACCAAAAAATCCACAGAATGCCACTTGCAGATAAAATAGGTTTCGTTAACTGCACCTTTGGTCTGGCAAGGTTGTCTCAAAAAGCCATTGAGAAAAGGAGTTCACATCTCATGTGTGGGTTTGCATTACAGCTTCCAGAAATGACATTTCCTAATTCAACTGAGATTTTTTAAGCATTTAAGATTGATTCAGTCTGCACAATTTATTTCCTAAATTCTTTAGCTTCTTTGTCAAAAATGTCTAAATGTTTTTCAATCAGTGGACTTTTTCCTCTGCACTTATGTACTTATCTGTGTCTCTGGTTTCTGGTGAACTGTATTTCAACCCTGAGCCCAGTGAGGGGTGTCAGACCTCCTACATGGGGTTAGAATCCGATACTCAGCCTGCTCACTAGGACTTGTCATTCTAATCTTTTTAAATGCTATTATCGTAACTCAGTTTGCTTTACTGACATCCAAAACTGATTCTTTTATTCTTTTTTTCACCATTTTTTCTCTGCAACCAAGTATGGAAATGTTATTTTGATTGGGTAATATTTCATTTGGCCCTCAATGCAATACTTGTCTGTTAAGAGATGCCAGACAGTTGCAGTATACGCTATAGCTATTGTAGATTTTCTCTGCAGGTAGTGGACAGAATCCACATTGGGAGGATTCTGGGGGGAAAAAAAAAATCTATTTGGGATCTAAACATCTGTTCTCTCCCTGGTTCCTCAGCTTTGGCCATTTGTAACTAGATAGGGTCAAAGTGGGTGAGGTCTTGCTTCTTTAACCTCATCAGTCCAAACACTGTGCTCGGCAGGTCACAGAGGGACTAAAGAGAGCTTAAAGACACAGATGACTTCACCCCAGTTCTCGTTCCTTTGCTTCTTGGCTCAATAAATGCATCTGGAGTCAATGAGGCTTTTCTAATAAAAGAGGGAGCTGTGTCATACTCTCCATCATGATCCCTTTCTAATAATATTTAACACGTACAAACTAAATAAAATCTTAATATTTGTCTAGCAATCAAAAAACTTCATTCCAACTGCATTACTTGGAAAAAAGAAGGTATTTTAGGTTTCACTTTGGATAAGAGAATTTGAAAAGCATCAATTTAATATGCTAGACTTCTGAAATTTCCAAGTGAAGCACAAAATAAGTGAAATTCATGCAATATATCATGCTTATTCAAGGAAATAAATGTAGACGTATTAATCAGTGGCCTGAAACAAAGAAAAAAGAAAAAGCCATAACTCTGCTATGGATTTCCATAAACTCCTGGACACAGAAGAGGTTTATGGATTAATCTCACGAATACTGGCTCTGTTTTTCCTGAACTCATAAAAAGGTTAAACTCCTCCCCAAAAAGCTGGTTTTTAATTTTTTATTTTTTTCAGTCCGCCAGGCAACATATTTTGTAACTCTCCAGACCGCTTTCCTTTATTTTAATAACGGTGTTAAAACTTGTTTAAATTCACAAAAGAGAAGAGATGACATGGCACGATTCATCTCATTAATTCCTGTCAGGAAATCATATTATGGTTCACTTTTTTTTTTTTTTTAGTTTTCTGCCTTGTAAGTTGGAATAAAAGGGTAAAATATTATGCCTGAGTCAACAAGCAGGTGGTGAAAATGTGTAATTTGAGGAGTTTTGTGGCTCTGCCTGCCTGTATGAATCCCCAACATACATTTTTATAATATTGTCTTCAACATATTGGTGATCAGATCAAACAAATTCAAGCCAAACGCTATTGTACCTATGAAATGAATCTCTTCTAAGACAGGCTCATGCTTGCAACTTCAGAAAGAGGATTCACACATGTGGCCAACTGTATAGCTTACAGTCTAATAACCGATAGTCTGTAACTGCAGTACTTCCACAGATGTCTGCCAAGACATATGCTTGGGTCCCCTGGGAGATGATCTCATCATTAATCACAGTGTTTGTGGTTCAATTTAGAATATTGTATTATTTAAGGTTAATACATCAGACAGCATTTAAATCTAGATCTTCCATCCAGACCCAGAGTCAACTGTGTCTCAGGGTTGTCACGACAGAACCAGGTGCATCAGATGAGCTATTCCTGGACTTTTTTCCCAGTGTGCTGGTTTCCTAGTGCCTGAAAAGTGTTTTTTGAGAAAATATCCTTTCTGTCTGGAATAGATGCGTAGCGTGTGGCCCAGCTGAAATCTTTTCTGTACAGACATGATTGTGTAAGAAAAAGGTAGGCTTCATATCTTACCCTGAACAAAACTTGAAGAAAAAAGTGTTTTGAATTATAAAAATTATAATAATTGTGTTATTGTTTAGTTCTTATGGCCCTGAAAATTAAGTCAAAACATTTGACTTCATTTTAGGTTGTTTTTTCAAGACTATATGAAATTCATATAACATTAAAGCTGTGAGATGAGTTCATTGGTTTCACTTTGACATCTATACATTAATTAATATTTGTTAACTTTAGTCACATTTTGTCACTTTACACCACAAACCTCAATTAATTTAAATTACATTTTATGTGATAGACAAACACAAAATGTAGCATAATCATGAATTGTTTGTAGCATCTGTTCATTTTAATCTGCTGCCCCTAAAAATCCTCCTGTACATCTAGATGCAACCATACTATTAATCGTTATTAAATGAAGCTTACCTATTTTATATAAACAGAAAACAAAAGTACATTTAAAGATTTGACTCCTCTTATTTGGTCTACAATTTCGCCTCATTCCGGCTGCCCTACTTAGCATTTTTTTCATTTGTGAAGAAATGGAGCTTTAATCATTATGAGTTATTGACTCAAGGCTCCAGTTTTAACTGAGAGGTGCAACACCTGGCAATATCCATCTTTATTGTATTGATTTAGGCATTCTTCAGACCAATGGAAATCATCTAAGGCAGTCATTTTCTTAAATTTATTGAAATGCAATGCCAGAGAAATGTTTTTAATATATTACTGTCCATTTCCATGTTGAATTATGTGAACCCAAGACAATGATTGCTGGAAAAAAAAAAAAAAAAAAAAAAAAAGGTTGGACATGCAAAACATAATCCATCCATTTTGGCTTCTTTTGCTGAGAAGCCAAGTACATGTCGGTCCATTGTTGTGTAAACAGTCCCATTCAGTTTATCCACAAAACCACCAATGATGGGATTTGAATGGTGTACATTTTTTTGCCTACCAAACCAAAGTACAAACTGGTAGATTTTACAATGCAAAAAATGCTTTCACAATAACTTTTTTCATAACATATACAAGAAACAGAGATATCCAGTTTAAAACATCAGGCAACAAAACAGACATTCAATGCAGATGTATCCAGAAATAATGCTGTTTCTGTTTGGACATGCATAGAATACTGAGTCTTTTGCTTGAAGCAAGACATTTGTGGTTTTTGTATTTCCCAGCTTGACCTTTTAGGGTGCAAAGGAATTTAACATTTTTTGGGCTTTTCTCACATATCATTCTCTCAACCCCACAATAGTAGACCTCAATTGTCTGCACGAATTCCCACTTGGATGACGTGAGAAGAAATACAATGCATATACATGAGACGCAGCATGTATTTGCTCAGAAGGTTGTGTTTAACTCCTCATCAGGACCTCTGCTGAAGCAGAGTCAGTCTCCCCTTCCTCTCCAACCTCCCTGCTTTTGTAGATGTATAGTGTTACTCACCGCCACTTTCTCTTTTGAGCGCCATCCGCTAGATCATCGCACTCTGATTTGCAGCTAACAAAACAGCATGCTCTGCCATTTCTTTCTTCTTATAAGGTCTTGGACCTGTGGCCCGGCTTGGTAGGCTGCCCAACCTGCCACCACTGGCTGGCTTTTATTGGAAGCAGAGCAAAATGTTTGTTTTCACTGTACTGCTGGGAATGAGAAATGGGGGGTACCTTGCTCTACCTTCGAGTGGGGCTGCCAGGATGCGTGCGGAAGAAAAATTGCCCTATGCACACAATAGACGGGCAAGCACGCCAAGACTCAAGACATCACAGCTCAAGGACCTTGGATTTCATCCTCAGCTTTTCTTTTCTTATACACAACTCCCTTAAATCCTAACAGCTGCTTTGAGTGTGGGCTGGGAGGTTAATAAAGAGGAAATGTAGATGAAGTTAGAAATGCCCAGACATAAAAAACAGGTTAATATTTTATCTTTACCATTCTGTTGATGGCAAATACTGGTTACTGTAATGCACTGTGAACATCATGTCTTCCTTAGACTAACAAGATATTCATTTGGTTTGAGAATGTAAAGATGTTACAGCAAATATAAGTTTTTACTTTCAGTATTCTTGTTGTTAAAACAGTGTTGGGTCTTCCAAAGAAGTGATGACGTCAGTATTTCACATAGTTGCATAGTTTGCAGATGATCTGGAGAACATTGTTCACAAATGAGTTTTTCCAGATCCAGGCTGAATAAAGAGCTGCTGTCCTCGTAAATTGATCTCCAGTTTGGTCACAGCTCTCTGCAGACTCTTTGTGCAGACCAGGACCAGGTCTGCAAATTGAATTATAAGCAAAATTATCCAATCTTTTCTAGACTGGATAATTTATCATGTCCTCATGGTTATGCAAAGTTGTGTCCCAAGAAGAGTATTAAGTTAAATTTCTTCTCCAACAGCCAGTGTCTTACCAAGTTGTTCAAGGTTCTTCAGTTGTGTAGTTTGTCCATCACCCGGAGAACATCCTCCAGGATTGAAGGGCCCAGGTCTAGACTAAATGAAAAGCCACTGTCCTCATCCTTAAATTCATCAATGTGTTCACAACTCCCTGTGAACTCTTGATCTCTATGAAAACCCACGCTGCTGTGTTCGCGCCGGCAAGTCTGATTAGAAGCAAAATCATTCCTCGTTTCATCCACTTCCTCGTTTTCACACTTATCGTCTTCTTCACTGTCCAAAAGAGGCAAAGAGTTGCACTTCTTTCTCTTCTTGTCCACAGACCACTCAGGGCTCTGTATGCCCTCCGTTCCATCCAGGTTCAGACGGGGGGGTTTTGGTGGTGGCTTGCAGCTTAGGAAGAGGTTCTGTTCGCTCTTGGAACTTTGTCGAAGCAGGCCGTGACCCATTTTGAGGAAGGATAAGTCTCCAAAACTGTCGTCTTGGCCGTCGCTCCCAATGTGAGAGACATGCCGGAAATCACCAAGGGGTAGACTAATCATTTCGACAGATAGCACTTCTCTCCTCTTTGAGTTCCTGCTGGACCAGCGACTGGAAGATGGATTTCTGTACAGCGACGTTTTAAGTGGCATCCTGATGGATTTACTGGAGTTAGACTTGGATCTCTGTGAATCCTCAGGAAATGATGCAGCCTAAATACATAGTGCCATCTGCAACAACGAAAAAGACAATTAGGATTTAGCAAATGATAGTCTGAAGCAAGTCTGAGCTTGTGCTTGTTCTGGTATTCAGCACCAGATGTAAGTGCAGAGGTCTGTTCTCAGATTTAATGAGAATTGACAGCCGTTGTTTAGAGACTGCACCTGTTGGACTCGATCGTAGTGCAGTGAAATTTAGCATTATTTGGCAGCAGAAGGATGACCCAGCAATGCTTTGAAGCCTTTGTTTATAAATATTTATTTTCCAAATCCTAGGTTCTTCCCATAAGTGCAGGTGTGGTCTTAACATAACCTCCAGAGGAAGTCTATTAATCTACATAAGAATTCCAGTAAGAAAAGAAAAACACTGCAAACACCAGAAGAGTAATTGCTCAGTGTTTTGGATCTCTTCAAACAGTTTTTAAAGACGGATGTATTTTTCTCTCTTTAACTGTCAGAAATCAAACTAAATTTGATGTGGAAAACAAAGTAGTGGAATGAATGAAGAGACTTTGTGTCTTCACCTCAGATGGTGAAGTAAAGTTAAATTAGATGCAGTTATTTCTTAAACAATGTCACTATTTTGGCAAAATCTCAAGTTTGCTATGCAGACTGGAAAAGTCAGTAATTCACTTTTATAATGTATTTCAGTAAGCATAGTAAAAATAAAATTACATTCATTTTGGAAAAAAAACATTTGGTTTTTCCATGTTTTTCTTTCTTTAATTATCATAACTGATGGAAGTCTATTTTTTCAATTGGTAGATTGATTTTATATTGATTTTTTTTATTAAATGTTAATGCACATGCTTTATCTTGATTTGTATCATTTTATCCGTCACCATTTTGCTTTTTCACTCATGAACCAAGTGCACTATGATTCCAAACTGACTGTAAAGTGCCAAGCACAGCGCAACAACCTCTATTTTTGGAAATTTTTCTAAATGGATAAAATTACTGGATTTTAAAGAGTCTGCATTTAGTCCAGGAGGCTTTTTAAATTATAGATTTAATTATAGATAAATGGATGCAATTTAAGTTCAGATGCATCCCAGTCTGTGGACCTATTGCACACGTTACACAAACAGAAAGCTATTTTGGGCAGTTGGTACCCCTCGACCGTTTAAGCAAGTTTTAAATTTATTCCTTTTTCTTGAATGTCCATAATTTTCTGGGAAAAATCTAAAATACTGAGCCTGGAGAAGAATTGTTTTCTAAAACAAAATCATATCAGCCATGATATCTCTCAAATCCAAAACTCTGTTTTAAATTCTTTGTATTGGGCAACATCTTGTTTTAACGGTAATTATATAGCATCTAACAGAGGATTTCGTGACTTGTAAGCATTTTATTTCCAAAACCAGAACACTGTTCATCAACTCTGGCATGTCGATTAGATAATCTCCTCGCCGTAAATGATTTTTACAGCTTTGCCCACATTAGCTCTACATTCGTGACTTGAAACACTAACTCTGTAAATTTGTAAGCCACTTCAACAAACATGCTTCGTCGGGCTGTAAAACATTTTATCGGCACTTTAGCAGCAGCAGGAGGTGCGGACACAACAGCATTCCTTTCCAAACATGTCAGGTCAACCAAAGAGGAGTGTTATGATTCAGCTGTGAGGAAACACCTCATGGCTAAGTAGAAGTTCAGCTCAATAAAATAGATTGACCACAGTTGTTTCATTTATTTGACCTTTATTTATACAGGTTGTCTAATTGAGATCCAAGATCCCTTTTACAAGAGAGACCTTTTAACTATTGCTTCTCTTTCTAAGTGCTTTCCTCAACTCCAAGTTCATAATAAATAATTAAATGGGCTTTCTCCAAGCAGCTTGTCTGGACTGACTGAAAACAGTAAAACAGATAAAAATGGATGAAGATACAAACTTACCAGTCTCTATAGTGTAAAACAAAATCCAGAATATTATAAGCCCATACATGCACACCCGCCTCAGCCAGGAATCTATGCTGCTTCTAACTGCACCTATGACAAGCTCTTCGTCGACAAGATAAGACTTGTCATTCATCAGAGAGCAATACCCATTTCCCAGCTTTGAAATACTGACACAAAGGTGTAGCCTATTCCCGAAGAAGGTTAAAGAAGATTTAATTTAGTATTAATCACTAATAGCAAAGAAACAGTTCTTACCGTTTTCAACTGGTGAGAGCGCTGCTAGTTCTTGGGTAATGAATCTTTTTTTCAGTCAGCATAAAATCCCGATTGCGCTGCAGAATCACCTCCAGGTGTGTTACTTGTGAAAGGCCTACTTGCGTAAATGATAAACCAGAGGAGGTCAGAGTACAAGGGCATCCAGGTGGAGGCTTTGCTTGTTTTTTTTTTTTTTTTTTTTTCAGCTTTTGTGAAGTCAGTCTATTTCAGAAAGTCTGCAAGTCATCAGAACACACCATCGTGACTGCAGAGCAAGTCTGCCCTGCAGGCTTAGGTGTTCAGTTGAGTTTTGCGGTTTGATTGGCTGTGCCCTTCACCTGTGGGGGAAGTAGGTGGTAAATTGGAGCTGCTCATTTTTTCCATGTTATTGGTAAAGATTGAAACTTTGCTGGATTGTTTAGCTCCAGAGAATATACTATAAAGAGAGGGGTGAGGAAAAAAAAAAAAGTTTTAGCCGCCACTGATTGCGTGCTCATTAAAGGAAGTTGTAGTTGGTGAGCTAACAGGTTGACCACAAAGAGGAGGGGGTTAACAGATGTCTAATCTCCACGCTATTGTCGCTTTTCTCTGCTGATTTCCTGTCTGCTGTTGGCTTGTGTAAAGCCCCACAGTCAACCCCACTCCACAGGCTCTTCTGCCTGAATGGAGGCCTTTGGCTTTTCTGTATAATCAAAGAACAGACATGTCTGAACAGGCACCCTGGGTTTCACAACAGAAATAACTGGCTGTTTCCAATTCTCACGCCTCCAACATGTTGCCTGTAACGAACTGTAAGTGTCTCAAAACAACATGTTTTCTGCTCTGCTGTACTGATTGCTTATAGTAAGCGCATTTGCTTATCAACTGTACAACTTGTGGTTAAAAAAACCCAGCTGGAATAAAACATGAAGTTTTAATGCAAGGTGCATGAAACCGTGACGTATGTGGGTGGCACACACTATACAAGGTCATCTTTTGGGGTATTTTGGTTCACGAGGGAGTGACTCATAGCACAAAATCAATGATGATATGAAAGAATATGATCTGGAAATATCTCAAAACATGAGCCAGGAAATTAATTTCTGCACAAATGTTTTTTTTGGACAATCGCCATAGGCAAATCACCAACATAGTAACAAAGTGACTTAAAAACAAAAAGAAAATTATGTTTTGGAGTGATCATGACAACTTTTCGATCTTGGTCGCATAGAGACTGAAATAATTGAAAGGCCACATTACAAATCCGACAACCATGTCAGGAGATATGGGCCAAAATTCCGCCAAGCTATTGTGAGAAGCTTGAAGAAAACTCAAAAAGTTTGACCCCAGTCATACAGTGTAGAAGGTAAATTCTACATTGTAGACCTCTGTAGAAAGTAATTCAAGTTCAAATGATTCAAATGGTCTTTATTTATTCTTGAATTTCATGGATATAAATCATTTTGGTAATCCTAACTGACTTAAAACAGAATTTTTTTTGTCGGACTCAATAGCAAACAATGAGAATAAAAAGGATAGGTGACTTTTTAAACAGTGTGTGTAAACATCTGGTTTCAACTGTAATTTTGTCAAAATATTTCCAATGCATTCAGGCATAAAGGAGGAGAGCTTTGTACACAGCTTTGTCTTGTTCTTTGATTCTAAATATGCATGTTATGAAGGAGAAATCCTTTTTATTCAACATTCCTTTTAAATTCATCCAATAAACAATAGGCGTGCCGGCTTTTCCTCTCCTCTTCTCCCGCTCCATGCTCCAGTGCCAGGACAGTCTCCAAGACCAGACACAATTACTCACGCAAATGAAACTAGAACCTCCAGCCAAGTCTGAAAGAGCATTTCACAGCATCTCCCTTCTGAGAAAAACTTTCGTCCTCCACCTACAGCCACAAAGCTGCTTTTATACTAGCAGACACTCGGGTTGAAGAGTCTGTATTATCTGCAGTATTTGGAAGTGACTTCAGAAGACCTGCAGGCAGACAGAGGCTGGGCTTATTCCGCTGACAGTGTTCTCATGCAGTGTAGCCTCCGGACTGCTAGGTTTAGCCTGAACTTCATTTCAGTATAAACTTCTTTTCTAAGGCCTGACCATGGTGGGCAGTGTGGTTTGATGCAGCTATGCTGGGTCTGAAATCATGCTTTTTCTTCTTTCTGCAAAAGAGTGTTTCCAGTTATTGCTTTGACTGGTGCTAGAAGCTCAAACTGAGGCTTTGGTGGATCCTCCCCGAGCCCTTTGTTGTGTGTTCTTCAGCTCCCTCTGTACTAAGGGTCCGAGGAGGGTTGCACTCAAACAGGATTTACTGCTTGCTTTGTCTGAGTTCCTTTAACCAAGACATTGTTAAATCATGTCAAAGATGGCACACATAGCTTAACTGAAGTCACTGATGGTTCTTCTAGAATATATAATGCTCAGATTGGAATTAAGTTTTAAACTGAAGACAAGGTTAGCCTTTTTTCCACTTCTTGGAACAGCTTTAACCTGACTTTTCAAGGTTTTTACAGAGAAACCTTTTCAAGGTTTTTACAGAGAAATCATTTTTTTAATGATTTTTTTTTAAAGCCTATCCATCAAATTTCTCTATTAAAAAGCCAGAGCATCTGCTCCAATAGATAGAGGCAACAAAATGTAACTTTCATAGAAGTGCTGGACTGCAGCTAATCAGTCAGCAGAATTCATTTCCAGGAACATTTCGTTCATGATCAGTATGAGTCATATTTACATAGAACACAGAAATAAGAGAGTCACAGGGCTTTGCTAATTGCAAAAATCCTAAATGGTAAAAGCAGATTTTCTGCTTATTTTGTTTGTCAATCTAATGTGTAATCAATCTAACCATTTAAGAAGGGATACAGTCCGACATTGACCTACACCTTCCCCTTCAGTTCAGTTATCCTTATTTAAATAGAATCATCTTGCAGTGAACGTCAAGTTATACTACTATACAAGACATATGGTACCCCATATAGATTGGAATTTAATCAAAATGTAATTAAAATCAACCAAATTCAGATTTTTGCAGTGCAGACATCTAACTAGAATGATGTCTAATGAAATGCAGTCAGATTTACAGAATTACAGTAGTCTAACCTTCTTGTCAGAAGTGATCAACTGAATATCAGCCTTTGAGAATAAGGCATGTCAGAAGTGGACATGGAATAGCTGCATTTACACCAAGATAAAATTACGTAAAGGTGACTACTTAAAAGAAGTGCGTGTAAATTTGCTTGACATAATCTCCAATTAAGACTAAGTTTGTGATTTTAACATACCAAAGTTGAAAAATACTGGGATAATATTGAGCATGAATATCTTTGATAGGCACTATAGTTTATAAATTAGAGCAAGAAGAGAATAATAGTGAAGAGTGTTCAGTGTTTCGTCAATAAAACTTAAGGCTTAGTACATATCTAGCTACTCTAACTGAAAGCTACTCCTAAAGGACATAATCAGATAGCTTACTCCATAGGAGAGGAACCTGATAACTAAAAGGTCTCCCTCTTATGATGCTTGAAACCACAGAGCAAAACAGAGAGGTGCTACAAAATAATTATTTAAAGTTGGATGGTGCTTGGTTTTCAGAGCTTTATGTAACTTTCTTTGTGAATTCAGAGATAGCCGAAAACGAGCAGCTTAAATTAAAATACATATCATCTTTCTATCTTTCTTTCTGACTGCAGGAAATAGGATGGTATTTTTATTTTTTTGGGGAAAGAAGATATTAAAGAATTACAGTAGTCTAACCTTGAGGGAACTAGTTTCTTGGGTAGGACATTGTTAATTTTGTCAATTTTTTCCAGGTGAAATAAGTGTATCCAGACAAGACAAGAAAGGTGGGGAAGAAAGATGAAAGTGGGGAGACAAAAATAAAGAGTGAAAATAAAGAATACAGGAAAACACCCTAGCATTTCTGAAAACGGTTCCCAACAATTTTGAACCAGTTGTTACATTTAGTAATAAAGTAATTGAAAACATTTTATTTATACTGATTTAATACATTTCTGCCTGACCCAGTTTCTGTTTAGAAATATTGAGATATTTTACTTTTGAACTCACTTGAGTGACGCACACCTTAGTCATCCTGGTTTAGATGAAAAGGCAAGTTGAGACAATAGTTCTACAACCACAACATTAAAGTCACGGTTTTTGTAATGGAACCAAAGATTGACTCCTGTGTTTTCTTTTCATCAGAATTAGATCATAAAAAAACGTCTCACTTCCTGGCTGTATTTACACGCACTCTGATGAATCAGATTGAACTTCTGAGAAGTTGGCAACAGAAATGAGACTTTAGATTTTTGTGACCCGTAGCAGTTTTTTCTGAAAACCTTTATTCCTTTGGGACTAAATGAAAATGCCAATTGCACATATTCTGCATTTTTTTCCTACATAAAAATAATCAGGAATACAGGTGTAATAATATATTATGTTTCAGCAGTCATTACTGGATACAAAACCACATTTAAATCATGGCATGTTGGCTTCAGCTCTTTGACATGCTGAAAAGAGGGAATCAAGTTAACAAAAAGCAGAAATCTTCAATGCAATGAAACATTTTGAATTTTTGTAATTTCAGCCTTTTTGACAGCCTTCTGGTTAAATATTTGAAGCCTAACAGTTGCACAAACTCATTTGTTTTACTAAAGAATATCTTGCAATCAGAGAGCTTTTCCAGGACCCAAGTATGTGAGACGTAATTTTGCAAAAAATACATGGTTGGAAATCAAGCGAGGCAGAGGCCCTTCTTTTCATTTTTTTTATGATTTTTTTTTTTTACAGCCTATCCATCAAATAGAGAAATGCCAGGAGGTAAGGTCTTTTGTAGCCATTTTTCATTTCACTGTTTATTTCTTCTACTTCTACAAATTCCAAAGGCAATCTCTGACTCCATGTAGCAGAAATCTGTTCAGATTAAAACGTTGACCACCAACAACCACATGCTGAGCGCAAGCACCGTTACTCATACATAAAAACACAAAGCTCTGAAACTCTGAAAGATTTACCTTTTGAATTTATAATCTGTTTATGCCTTTTGAAATCTATAAACAAAGGTCTACAATCCAGCCTGTTTTACACTGGAGGAAAAATTCACATTTTGTCATGTGACAGTCACAAATTTTAATTTGTGCATTATCCCTTACTATGATATCATTTAGTCTAAAAATTAGGTACAAGTACTGTGAGAAGATCAGGAGGCAGTCTCCTTTTTTTTTTGCTATTTCTGCCATTCTGTTTTTCAAATGACATTTTTCATAAGTGCTATGTTGAAGTATTTTAATTGCATTTGTGTTTCTCTTTGGTTACATGGCTTGCACAGTGAAAAAAATAATAATAAAAAAAGATGTTGGACTGTCATAGTCAAATGCTTGCAAGACGCACATAAAGACAAGAGACAAATATGAACAAGTGTTTCTGTTGTTTTTTTCCCCAACAGAAACTGGATAATGTTGTACCTCTTCTGTGTTTTATAATGAGTGATGATTAATCCATGACTGAGTGTGACACGTTTCGTCTGCGCAGGAATGCCACTTTGGCCCTTTTTGTGTTGCTCCAGCATTTGGCGCACACACACACACACGCACACACTGAAAAGTGCGCAAGAATTTGTCTCCCATAAATCACATAACCCAGAGGTTGTGACACACAGAAACACACGCTATGCCACTGCACACACACTCCAGATAAATAGTACCGTGATTAACCTGACCACACTACATTATAGACTGAAATGTTAGCCTGAAATGCAGAAAAGGCTTTGGATGGGAAAACCCCCATTCTTGTCTGGGATATTTGTCCAGTTGCTTCTTGGCTCAGGGAATGTCTACATAAAACTCTCCAATGACTGCTGGTATCAATGAGTAATCCATTGTTCTGTAATCTGTCAGGTTGCAGTGCTCACAGCATGGAATGACAAGTATTTTAATAAGAAGCGCTCATCGTACTCATGCTGTAACTTGTTTTTATCAGATACAAACACACAGTCGCCTGTACTTCACACGTACCAAAGTGGATCTGACAAGTTGTGCTGGGGGAACACGGTGGCCACCTGCTGTGTGAGCGACTTTCTGCTGTGTGCTGAACTGGCTGACTCACAGAGCTGATGCTGTTCAGGATGTCATAACTGTTCTGGGGTCTGGCAGGAGTTGGACTATTAGGGGAAATCAACTGGGCTGGTGTCATATAGCTAATCTTTATGTTGTTTCTTTGTATAAGAACACATAACATTTGAATTTGAATGAAAATATGATTTTATAGATAAGTGAAAATCGTGTATTTTTAAAAGAATGTATTTCAAGTGTTTACATTTGTTCATTTTGATGTTTATGGCTTACTGCTGTTGAAGACCTACAAAATGTAGTGTCTCAGAAAATGTTAATATTACATACAATTTATAAAAAGGGCCACATTATATTACATATATAATTTCATATTGTCTTTTTAATTGTTGAATTTTAAAATGAAATACAAATGTTTGAAGTTGCATAAATATAATTTACTTTTTGCAAGTTCAGATTGTAGTCTTCGACTTGTCTGGTTAATTAGCTCTGGTGTCTATCATCTTCCTTTGGATCTCACTGCATAACTTGGTCTGCAGTCCAATCAAGCAAAGTGACATAATGCTTCAATAGAACCTTATGTCCTTATTGTACCACTGACCACGAGGACAAGTGCCCATGTTATCAGGAAAGGGGAACAATTAGTGGTCTAAAACTTCCCGATAGACTGTTGCTCATGCAGCCCATAACCTTAATATGGCTGTGTGAAAACACTGACTCCAGCCGCAGTCTGTTCCTTGCACACTTGTTTTCTACCACACTTTTTCCTTCCACAAAATCTTCCACTAGTATTGCCCGTTTAGGCACGACTTTCTAAGACTGTTAAGAAATTTCTGCCATCAAGTCCACAGTCCTCTCTGTGATTGTGTTTGTCATAACACACATCTCTGAGTTAGAAATTCTGGTTTTGGGTGGTGTTTTATAGTTTCCAAGTCATGCTGGGTTCCGGGATTACAGCACCAGACACCCACACATGCACGCATGGATACTATATCAGTGTTTAGTTACAGGGTGATGCACTGGCTGAGCATCTAGATAGCAAGTTAACTCCCCAGGCAAGGAAACATCAGTCATCTTGAGAAAAGGATGCATCACGTTTCCCATATAGCACCTGTTAGTCATCAGAATTTCTTTAATGCTTCTGGACTGTATATTGGTAAAATGTTATAGACCTTCAGTCTTTCAAGGCGCAGTTTGGTGTTGTCTCCAGCAGAGAGCATGGGAGAGGAGGAATATATTATGTTGATAAGTTTGCTCTTTTGTACTTGTTTGCGTTTTGTTTAGTTTGAAGATGCAGGAGTTGTTTATTTACCTAATGGCGTTCGCGTGATATTTCATAGTTGCGTGCCAGACAAGGGTTTGAGTTCACATTATTGGAATGATAATAGCAGCTTTCCTCAACCCAGGGGTGGAGTGGAGGGCAGCTTCCCTTCACAGACCCTCCGCTCTCTTCCTCCTTCTCACTTTTACCCTCTGCCTTTCTCTGCA